CTTTGCTTGTCAGAAGGTCATAGAAGGGGATCACATGACCCCCTAGGACAGTGGTGGCTAACCTTTTTGGGCTCCTGTGCCAAAAATTGTGCGCACGCTTGTGCGCCGCATGCCAGCACCCAGAAGGCAGTGCGCATGGCCCCCCACGCCCCCTGCACATGTGAGTGCAATTCCCCCTAGGCCGCCCCCTTACCTGCACTGCGCATCCCGGCTGGTTTTTGCCCGTTTGAGGCCTTTTTCAGCCTGCCAGAAGCTTGAGGAAAGCCTCTGCAGGCTGAAAAATGGGCCCGTTTCATCACTTCCGGTATTTCTGGAAATACAGGAAGTGATGAAACGGTCCTATTTTTCAGCCTGCAAAGCCTGCAGAGGCTTTCCTCAAGCCTCTGGCAGGCCGAAAAAAGCCCCCCAAATCAGCTGGGAGGTGCATGCATGTGCAGTGCAGGTAAATTTGCCTGAGGCTCACGTGCCTGCACAGAGGGCTCTGCGTGCCACAGGTTCGCCATCACGACCCTATAATATAAATAGGAGCCAGTTGCCTAGCGTCTGAATTCTAATCACGTGACCATGGGGATGCTGCCACGGTCATTAAGTGTGACAATTGGCCATATGTCCCCTTTTTCAGTGCTGTTGTAACTTTGAACTAAATGAACTGTTGTAAATCAAAGAGTACCTACAGTATATAGCAAGTTTGATAAAGAAAATCCACTTTCAAAAATGCAGTGGAAAAAGACGGCATGGATTTCTCCAGGGAGTGAGTTGACATTAACTGAAAGACAGACAGACAGACAGACAGACAGACAGACAGACAGACAGACACGAAAGACCCTGCACAAAGTAATGTATAAACAGAAGGGAAACTGTTAAAGCCCTCAATAAAACTCAGAAAGGAAATCACTGCGTCAAGTTCACGGCTTTTGTTATGTATTCAACAGTGTTTAAAATGGGGGGTGGGGGGGAGAATAAATGAGAAATAACGTCAGTCTCTCAGGGCAGGAAGGCTTGAAGGAGCACCCCTCCGAAAGAAGCAACAGAGAGCGAGAACTTGCACTTCGCTGGGCTCAAACTGCTGCTCAAAAACCCCTCCCCAAATCCCTCCCCCCCCCAATCCATTCCCTTTTAAAGAGGAGGAAGGAGGAAGCCCCCCCCCCGCCACGTCTCTGCAGTAGGCAGCTCAGCAGCCCCCTCCTCCTAGGAGATTCCTGGTTTCTCCTGCTGACCGTTTGCTCCTTCCTGGTGGACAGGAAGGAGGACGAGGATGATCAAGTGCTGTGAAGTTGAATTCTGTGCAGCTGGACGTTTCTAATGTCTTTGGGGTGGAGGCAGTTATTACCTTTATTGTCAGGGTACAACCTGTGTACAACGCAACCTGTGTACAATGCACCCTCCCACCAACACAACTCACAGTGAGGACAGAAGTCCCTAACCCAGACCCAATCTTACGTGATTTTGTTGCACAACGCACCGGCCCCGCAGGTCTATCGTATGATGTTGACACGAAGTTATTTTCCGTTCAGGAGTCTGACAGCCCACGGGTAGAAACTGTTCTTCAGCCAGTTGGTGCGGCTGGCTCTGCTTCCCTATCTCCTCCCCGATGGCAGGAGAGTGAAGAAGGGCTGACCGGGGCCTGAGTCGTCCCCGAGGATTTTCCTCACTCTTCTAAGGCAGCGAGCCCTAGCGAGGTCATCTAGTGGTTTCAGGAAACAGCCCATGATGTTTTGTGCTGTGATCACCACCCTCCACACTCTTCCAAAAGGGAAGGTGTCACTTGACAGAAGGGCTGGTTCTGATGCTTTCCTGTGGGTTCCTGGGTGGATCATGGATCGGGGTGTGTGGGAAGGAGCCCAAGTGCCTCTTACAGCTGCAGATTAACCTGAAAAAACAAAGGGTTTTTTTTTTAACCCATTTGTCACCGTTAGATTCCTTTTACCTATTCAATTTTAATGCAAGCCTTTTTAAGGTGCGCCAGTGCTGGCCAAATGCATATTAAGCCTCGGTTTTGTGCACGCTGATGGTTCGTAAAGTTTCTCCTTAAATCCACGTACTGCCTTTGCAGATCTGTACCAGCTGTGCTTGTTCTCTAGCGGCTCTCTTGCCCTCAGTGAGTCTCCTGCCCTCCCCTCTTGGTGGGAAGGCTTCGACAACCCTCTGGTGGATGCAGGTCTCCACAGGCAGTTTCCTGACCCTTCTGGCAGAAAAGAAAACCAGGTGAAATATGAAGTAAAGTAGATAGTTACAGCCTTGGGAAGCCATTTATAGAAGTCATAGAACAACAGAGTAGGGAGGGAACCTTGGAGGTCTTCTAGTCCGACCTCCTGCTCAAGCAGGAGACCTACACTATTTCAGACAAATGCTTGTCCAGCCTCTTCTTGAAACCTCCAGTGATGCAGCACCCATAACTTCTGAAGACAAGCTGTTGCACTGATTAATAGTTCTGTTAACTAATCCTAATCCATTGATGAAAAGAAAATGGCGCCCTTCTGTAAGAATAGCAATAGGAATAGACTTATATAGCACTTTACAGCCCTCTCGAAGCAGAGTCAACATATTTCCACCAACAATCTGGGCCCTCGTTTAACCAATCTCGGAAGACTGAGTCAACCTTGAGCCGGTGAGGATCAAACTCCTGGCTGTGGGCAGAATTAGCCTGCAAACCTGCGTTCTCACCACTGTGCCACTAGGGCTCATTGGTGGTTTGCTTGCATATCATTCTGTAATCCAAACTGATGTCTCCTCGGAGGGCTACAGAATAATTTCCTAGCAACCCGGAGGTTGATTGACTGACCTTGTCTGGGGGATACTGGAAGCGATACTGATGGTCATCTAGAACACCACCAGCTCTGGTGAAGAGTTTTGGAGTTAGAAGAAAAATAGTGACGATGTCGGTCTTGGGATTGTTGGGATCGGCTGTATTTCGATCTGCATTGTGGCATCCAAGTTAGGCCAGTTGTTGCAAGAGAAAGAAGTTCCTGGTTCTTCTCTCTCTCTTTTTTGTAATAAAAACTTTTATTTTTATTTTTAACAACAAATATAAACACAAAACATAATACATAAAAGAACAAATGAAACCTTCTTTCAATTGTACAGTGTGTCGGTTGGTACATTTGACTTGTGCACACTATCTATAGTCTTTCCCTCTTAAATTTACACACATATTGCATCAATCAACTTTCCATGTCATATTATATTATTGCTATACAATCATTAGACTTTAATTTCAATTGTTCCTGATTCTTCTCAAGCTCTCCTCTCCGCAGCTTGATTGGGTAGAAGTAGCCCAGCGGAGCCGTTTCGCTCCTGTCAGGAAAATGTGTATCATGCAGTGGGAACGGTATTCTGTGCCAGTTCATAGAGCAGATGTGGAGGGGCCTCGTAGCATTTCATCTTATATCTGCTGTGTCCTTTAACATACCCCTGAAGCTGCCGTGGGAGCTCCGGAGGGCATCTGTTCTCTCTCTCTCTCTCTCTCTCTTTGTCTTTTGAGCGAGATGAGGTTGTGCAGGTTCGAACCTTCTGCTTGGCTTATGGTCATGGCTTGTGTGGTGTCCAGTAAATTGATCTTTTGTCAACAAGACAAAAGGTTGCTTTCCTTATCGGGAAAGGGACAGTTCATAAAACCAGTGTGGTGGCAGTGGTTGTTACTCAAGTTGTATGCAGCCCAGTAAATCTGGGCTCTTGTCCTTGATGTCCATGATCCAACTGTGACCTTCAAAGCTAGTGGAACCCCCCTTCCCCCCTTTTATTTGTTCCTTTCTAGATAGGGGTCTCTTCCTGGGTGGGACCCACCATCAGATTATGTCCTATAAATGGATTACTGTAATAGGCAGTATCTGCACTCTCCACAGCAGAGGTCTCCAAACTTGGCCACTTTAAGACTTGAGGACTTCGATTCCCAGAATTCTCCAGCCAGCATTCCTCCCAGAATTCTGGGAGTCGAAGTCCACAAGTCTTAAAGTGGCCAAGTTTGGGGACCCCTGCTTCACAGAAATGACTCCAAAGCTTTTAAAAGCACCTGTCTCCTTCCTATTTCAGCCTGATGGAATTCCAGGACAGTCTTCTTTTCACTGGCTGCTGATTTGCCTCTGTGCCCAGTTCAAGCCATGGTGTTTTTCCTTCCAGATCCTTAACCCTGACAGCTGGGCCTTGAAATCCCCCTTTTTGCCTGCCCTCCTTGAGGGAGGAGCCTTGGGTCATCCTTGTGGGAGGAGAGATGGTTTTGCTGTGGGGCCCCTTTTCCACAGAGATGCTTCTTTTCATCTTGAAAAGATTGTGGTGTACTTGCTCTAACCTAATTTATTTCATAAAGTGCGGCTAGTTGGGTTTGGGCACTGTGGTGCCCGTCCTCCCAAAGGGCCTCTTAAGATGTACAGAAAGAGAAGACTGCCTGCTGTCAGGATTCCAGCACTTACCCCAATTAAATCATGAGTCTCGAGCCAAACTTCCAAAACTTCAAAAGGATTTATTGGGAGTTAAAATGTCCGGCACTGCCTGGGTGTAGCTGACTCTGAGACACATAATTCACTGTCACCTCCTGGGTGTATCGTAATTCATATTCTCCAATGGGACACATCCATAGCCCAGAGTCATCAAACATGCTCTCCAGTTAGAATTTTGCATGGCAGAAACTTCAGTCACTTAGTTACTATCTCTGAAAAACTATTTATGGAATGCACTTTCAATTTTCAAGCAAACCCCTTCCCACCTCCTTCCTTTCTGCTGGCAACTCTAAAAAGACCAGATCAATATTTTATGAGTTGACATTCGGCTCCCCTCATTTCTTGAAGGTGACAATACAAAAAGAAAACAAATTGTTTGCAGTCACCTAGTTACTATCTTTGAAAACATTTATGGAATGCACTTTTCGGTTTCCAAGTGGCTGCACTGCTCCCCCCTCCCTTTCTGTTGGCAACTTAAAAAGACCCTAGAAGTATTTTATGAGTTGACACCTTCCTTGTCCCATCCTCGACCTTCCTTAATTTCTCTTTTCCTTCCACATATGCCAGACCCTGTTAACCAAGATGGCCAGGATACCCAAAGACCTACCGACGGATTCTTCAGCTCCAAGGTGGCCGTGTTTGCTGCGATCGGGGCTGGCTGTGTCATTTTCATCCTCATCCTCATCTTCCTCATCGTCCTTCTCATCAAGATCCGAAAACGGCACCGGAAGCACACGCAGCAGCGGGCGGCAGCCCTGTCACTCAGCACCCTGGCCAGCCCCAAGAGCAGCGGCAACGCCGGCTCCGAGCCCAGCGACATCATCATCCCTTTGCGGACTACGGAGAACAACTACTGCCCTCATTACGAGAAAGTCAGCGGAGACTACGGGCACCCGGTCTACATTGTCCAGGAGATGCCCCCGCAGAGCCCGGCGAACATTTATTACAAGGTTTGAGGACAAACCTTGCCGCCCCACTGCGAAGCCCTCCGGGTGCCAGGGGAGAAGAGGAGGAGGGCCTGCCTGCCCCCTCGAGCACTTCCCTCCCTCGATTAGCATTTAGCCTTGTAGTTTGAAGCTTTTCAGACCCAGGATTTGAGGGGGTGTGCGTGGGGTGTGTGTGTGCTCTCGTCCCACCTTCTGCTCCCAGCCTGCTTTGTGGCCCTCACTTGGGCTCTGTGCCTTTCTCGCTCTTGAACCCACCCGGGAAACCCCAAGTTGGCCACCGCCACGTTTTGGGGGCAGATTTTCTGGCTCCTTGTTGCCATTTTGTTCGGGGGGGAGGGGGGGCATTGTTGGGAGGGAAGCCACACCCAGCCTGGCACTCCAAAGGAGGGAGGGCATGCTAGTCCCTGCGGGGCAGAGCTTGGGGACGTGCTGAGAAAGGAGTCTACCTAGCCCCATGTTTTATATATATATACACACACACATATATATATATAATTCTAAAGTATTTTTTGTAACTTTTTAAAAAATGGCGACAAGATTGGACTTGTGAGCTGCCTCCTGCAGTTTCCCAGCACAAGCTCATCCGCAGTCCTTCCCTGTCCCTCCGTCCGGCCTCGGGCCTCATCCACTCATCATCCCACTGGACACTCACCTCCTCATGCTCCGTGTCTGCTGTGAGAAAGGCGCACCTTTCTTCGTTTTGGTTTCTTTTTGCTAATTTATGAAGCAATTTCTTTTTAAAAAAAAAAAAAAACACCTGAAAAGTTTGCAATGGTCAGTCCAGGAGCGAATCCAGTTTTGAAGGGGTGTCAAGAAGGGGGCTTCTGTTTGTGCCGCAGATGGCATTGCGATGCCCAGGGTTGGGGGTGGGGGGGAGTCTCCCTGAATTCCCAATTCCTTGACCCAGAAGAGGGGAATGAAGGGGACGCAGGGTCCATGATCCCTGGACCTTTCCAGAAAGCCCACGGAAGGGAGTTCAGCTTTTGGCTCTTTGGGGGTTCAGGAGGAGGAGCAACACAGACCCCTCGCCCCTTGCTTGGATCCGGTCTCTTTTATGCCCAACTGCAGAATGTGGCAATCACACACACCCACAAACACACCAATTTCTTTGATCCAGCCACTCACCCACCCCCCCACCCAGCCCAGAGCTCTTGACTGGTTCACTTCCTGCCAGTCATAATAATTCTAATTGCGACTTCTGTGGCCTGCAAGGGCCCTCGATTGGCCCCGGGCCCCTTCGTGGGAGAGAAGGAGCCCCTCTGGGCTCAGCTCTCCCAATGGGGTTGCAGAGGTCAGGGTGCAAGCGCCAGTCAAAGCCTCTGCCCCTCCTCTCCCCACACACCTCCTGCCCTGGAGGGGGTGAGTCTCAATTAGAATTAAGGAAGGAAGCCACCTCCCCCCCCCCCCAATTCCCCTCAGGCCTGCTTGGCTGTAGCATCATCCCCAGGCTCCGGGCCCTTTTCACGGCCATCTTGCGCCTGTCACGCCAGAAGCCTTACTTTGCACGGAGGGGCTGCTGCGCCTCTCGCTCGGTGCTTGGCTGTCTCGCTCTCCACGCCTCCTTTCCATGAGCCATGACGCCTTCCTCACAACCCGCTTGCAGCTCACTGCCCCACACCCTAGGCCGCGTGGCCCCACAGCCCGGCTCCACGGCAGGCCTTGTGCCAGGCCGCTGACGACGGTTGGAGAGTCTGCCTCGGCCGCTCCCGGGGAAAGTGCGGGGCTGGCCCAGTGCAGCCTCCCTCAGCCAGCCTGCCGTTCAAAGACCGACTTTTGCAAGAATCTGGTCCGGTGGGGGTGGATGTGGGGGGTGGGGGCAGAGGCTCTTCTGCCCGTCTGACCAGTTGTCCATCCTCCGAGACGGGCCCCTCCTCCCCATCAGCATTTCTATGCAGCATATGAAGTGGGTGTCCGTCCGTCCGTCCGTCCGTCTGTGTAAGGGCTTAGGTAATTGTGCACTTTGAGGCGTGTTCAGTGGAGATCAGCCAAGAATTCAAGTTTCTCAGGGCTCCACAAATAATTGACAGGTAATTTTTAGTAACGGTGGTAGTTGTAGTCGTCGTAGTAGCAGCGTTCTTTTTAAAATGTACAGACTCTTCCCTTGGCCCCTGATTCTCTTACTCCCAGTGGTGGGGGCCCCTACGTGGGAGAGGGCCCCCGAAATGAGGGAAGCCCTCTCTGGCCAGGGGGAGGGGGCTACCCCTGCGGGGGGGGGAGGGGCTTTGAGATGGCATTTAGCATTTTGTTCTGATGCTCAGACTTGGCAGCCGTCTTGCCTGCCCGAGTGGTGGAAGGGGTGGCTGGCCCCGCGTTGGAGCTGCTGACCCTCCCAGGCTCCAGGTCCGTCCGGGAACAGGGACAGTCCAGCTGAAAGAGGCCGGGCGGGGGAGGGGGGAGGGGGAGAGTGTGGGGGGAGGGAGGAGAGGAAGGATTGTGTGGTTCCAAACCATAAAACATGGAGATTTCACACAGGGTGCAGCAAAAATAGGCAGAGAGTTAAGATACCAACTGCGGTCTTTAATGCAGGCACTCGAGAAAATGAAATTACGATGTGGACGTCATAGGAATTGGGCACGGTTGATTTCCCTTTGTGTGCAGAAATGGAAACCTGGGTGATGTCCCCTTCCCGGTCCATGCGGAGCAACCAAATAAGAAACACATGATGAGCTCGATGCAGGCAATTCACTTTGTGTCGGGAATTTTGCCATGTGTGAAATCCTCTCCTACACACACACACACACAGACACACACACACATACACTTTGTGGGGACGAGGGGTGGGCAGAAGCAAACGGGATGGCAAGAACCTTCAGAAGCTCCAGTTGGGGTTGAGAGGATGTTTGGCTTGCACCCCCTCCCCCCCCCCCAAAAAAAATAAACAAGGAATTGAGGCGTGGGCAGAGAAATAGATTTGTACAATGGGCGTTTGGGGTGTCAATATGCCTTTGGGGGTCTTGGTTTTTTTTTTAGCACCTCTCTCTGCTGAATCCTGAAATGTCCTTTTGCTTCTTCTTTCTCCCATCAAAAGGGGTTTTTTTAAAAAAAAAAGAAAATGAGGTTTTATTTTATGTAAATAACCAGTCTTTTTGGAGGGTATAATGTAAAGAGGTTTTGTATAAACTTTGGATTATTTTCTGGTTGCTTTTCTTAGAAAAAGAAAACAAAACAAATTAAAAATATGGGAAAAAATCAAACCACAAGAACGGGTGTTAAAAACCATTTGTCATACTGTAGTCTCTCTACATGCAGTTCATCCATCACAGAAGGACACACCTGGGGTGTGTAACCAGCAGGCTCACTTCCTGAAAAACTGCCCTGTGCCCCCTCCTAAAACTTCTGGGGGCCACCAGGGGGGCTTGCTGATACCCCAACCCAGGCAGAGAACCGAGGCGGAAACTCCAGTTCAGGGGACTTGCGGTCCCGAAACCTCTCCGGCCGGGATCCCTGCCCTTTCATACCCTAGGCCAGGGGTCTCCAACCGTGGCAACTTTAAGGCTCGCCAGCTGAGGAATTCTGGGAGTTGAAGTCTTCAAAGTTGCCAAGATTGGAGACCCCTGCCCTGGGGGCCTGTGCTGATGCTTGAGGGGCCAAATATCCCTGAGGTCCCTTGAGAGCACCTTTCCGTAGCCCTTGGAGTTGCCTCTGAACAGCTGCTGTAGGACCAGCCATCCCTCCTGCAGGTGAGGCCATTGGGCTCAGGTTTCCCAGGTGCCTGGCAGGTTTGAGGGGCTCTGGCTTACTTTGGGGGGGGCTGAGAACAAGCAACCCCTGGGGGCAGCTGCAGGGGGGGCCCACAGGAGAAGAGGGGTCTCCTTTTCCCAAGGGTGCCCTAGCGGCCATTTTCACGGCTAGTCTGCAACTTGCCAGTCTTTCTGGCTCTGGTGGGGACTGGCTTGGCCTCAGAGGAATCGGATCCTGCACCCTCCCCACTCCCCCAAAAGTGTCCAGCTCAGAAAAGGGGCCAACTGGCAGCTGGCGGGCAACGATGGGCCATTCCTGGTCAAGGTGGGGATGTTCCAGGGTTCGAGGTTGCCAGTGGAGGACTCCAAATTTACCAGAACAACGGGGTGGAGTGGTTTCGATTCTGTCGCATTTTAGAAATTCCTTTACCTTTCATTCACTGCTTTCACCCAGTTGCCACATCATTGTCTTCAGTAACAATGGGAAATGAATTCCCTGGACGTGGTATATTGTTAAATAAAGTATTTTTTTCCTATGGAATTGAGTTGTCTTGCATTTTGGGGTTCTTTTGCGGACAAGGTACCTGGCCTTGAATGTTCTTCTAGATCCGTGATGACAAACTTATGGCACGCAGAGCCATTTGTGCCGGCATGTGAGCTGCAAGCAAACATGCATGCGCCTCACAGCTGATTTTCGGTGAGTTTGAGGCCTTTTTCGGCCTCCCAAAGGCTTCAAGAAGGCTTCTGCAGGCTTTGCAGGCTGAAAACTAGCCTTGTTTTCTGAAAATACCGGAAGTGACAAAACGGGGCTACTTTTTGGCCTGCAAAGCCTGCAGAAGCCTTCCTCCAACAGGCTGAAAATCAGCTGTGAGGCGCAGTGCAGGTAAGGGGGCAGCGGGGATGGGTGGATAGGGATTGCATGTGTATGCGTAGTGGGCATGGGGTGTGTGCACATTGCCTTCTGGATGCTGGTACAAGAGCGCAAGCATGCAAGCGCACAATTTTTGGCACAGGAGTCTGGATATATAATGAAGTATTCTTGCACAGGGAATGTTGAATTCCCTTCAGTCCTGGCAAAACTTTATAGAAAAATTCTACTGGATTGTTTGGAACATGAGCCTGGCCTTTCCCTTCTTTACAAAAGACAGCTTTAAAATGCAATTTTGATTCAAGTCTCGGCAAGAATACAGATAATCCTCAACTTACGACCACAATTGATCTCAACATGTTGCTAAGTGAGACAGTTAAGTCCACAGGCAGGGCAGCAGAGGCGTCGTGTCCCCTCCCCTCCGGGAATGGCTGTGTCCTCCCCCCTTGCCCGCCTCCTGCCTTCCTGAGGTCAACCCATTGCAGAGGCTCCTTGGGGAAAGGGCCACTCAGAGGGTTCAGGAATGATGCTTCCAGAAACACTATCCTTGTGGAAGTCCTCTTATCACGTGATAGTGTTCTGACCAAGGCTTCCAAGACTGTAATTACACACACGCTTATTTTAAAAACAAGTCTTATTTTATTGCAATGCTGGGAATTGCTTACATTCCCAGCTGTTAATGAATCTCAAACAGTCCCTCGAGATAAGCACCCACCTTTCTTTCCTGTGAAGTGCTGCCAATTACAGAAGTATCAAATGAACTAGGAAAAAAAAACCAAAGTACAAAGAGCTTCAAGAATGAATCTGAACCGAACGGACAACTTTGCTTCCTGCAAAGGTTTCATCACCTTTGCCTGTCCTTTATACTTTAGGGGAGGGGCAGTCACCTCCAAGCTTTACTCCTGAGTCGCCCCTTTTGTTTCATCTGCTCTTGCCTCCTAGCAGCTCTGCGTACACGCACACTGGGAACAGGCTCCCCTGGGTCCTCTGCCTCGCTGCTGCCAGGCTCTGGAGGCTCCGGAGTCAGCACCCCACTCTCAGATGGTCCTGGCCCCATCTCTGCATCGGACCCTCGTCTTGAGTCCCCTCTAGACAGCCGGACGGATCCCCTTCCCCACTGTCCGATTCTGCTGCGGTCTGCACAGGCTGCCAGTGAACCACAACTGACAGGGCAGTGGCATTTTC